AAAGCTAACAGTGGTACGTATACAAATACAAAAAGGATCAAACAAATAACATATTAAAAAACATAAGCAACATCAAAAGGTATTCAAGGTAGTAAGGTACAACAATCCATTTAAAACCCTGCTCAGGCAGCCAGTCACTCAGGGAAAGCTTGCCTGAACAGAAAGGCCTTTGCCTGCTTGCGGAAGGACAGTAAAGATGGGGCAAGCCTAGTTTCCTGTGGGGGGAGTTCAAAAAGTCTGGAAGCAGCAGCAAAGCAAACTCTCTATGGTGTACTCACCAAGTGCACCTGTGAAGGTGGTCGGACCAAGAGAAAAACTGCTCCTAATTATCTTAATACTCAAACAGGCTCATAAAGGGAGATGCGGTCCTTGAGATAGGTTGGGTCCAAGTCGTTTAGGGCTTTCTAAGTTAAAAACGGCACCTTGAATTGTGCCCAGAAACAGATCAGCAGCCAGTGGAGCTGCTATAACAGGGGCATTATATGACCCCTATGTCCAGCTCCCGTCAGTAATCTGCTGCTGCATTTCGAAACCACTGGAGTTTCCCGATACTTTCCAGAGTCAGCCCCGCATAGAATGCACTACAGTAATTCATCTGGGATGTAATTAATGCATGAGTCACCTTGGCCAGAGCAGACCTCCACGGAAATGGACACAGCTGGCACACTAGTTTTCACTGTGCACTCCTGGCACTCCATCTAGTACAGGCTGTATCCCTGTTCCTTGATCTGCTTTTCGACTGACCAGGAGTACCCCTGTCTTATCTGGATTAAGTCTCATTTTATTCACTCTCATCCAATCCATCACTGACATTAGACACTGATCTAGAACCAAAATAGCTTCCTTGGATTTAAATAGTAAGGAGAGATAGAGCTGGGTGGCATCTGCATATTGGTGACACGGAATGCCAACATTCCACGCAACCTCTCCCAACAGTTTCATGTACAGCAGAGGTCGTCGACCCCCAGTCCGCGGCCCAGTGCCAGTCCATGGCCTGAGCCAGCCTGGGCCGTGAAAACAGATCTCTTACCTCCACCTCGCACACACTCCCCTCCCCCCACCTGCTTTGCGCACGTGTGTGCGTGCCAGGACCAGCATGAGCGCTCCCCCATCCCTTCGAGCATGTGCCCGAGTGCTCACATGCCCACGTGAAGGGGTACGCGGGTGGGTATGCAGGCGCCCTGCCTATGCGCAAAGGGGTGGGGCGGCACTGGTGGATCAGCGCTCCCCCACCACTTCGCGCAAATGCCCAAGAGCGTGCGCGCACTCACACGCACCTGCAGGACACCCCCCCGCCTTTCTCAGAGGCTCAGCCGGTCTGCGGTCCCAAAGCGGTTGGGGACCGCTGATGTACAGTATATGTCAAATAGCATAGGGAACAAAAGAGAATCCTGAGGGACACCACAGGCCAATGACCAGGGTGTCAAAGAGGAGTGCCCTAGCACTACCCTCTGGATCCCCCCCTCCAGAAAGGATTGGAGCCAGTATAAAAGAGTGCCTCTGAGACCCATCCGAGAGAGATGACCCAGAAGAATACCATGGCCAATGGTATCAAAAGATGCTGAAAGGTTCAGCAGAACCAACAGAGATGTGTGCCCTAGCACTACCCTCTGGATCCCCCCTTCCAGAAAGGATTGGAGCCACTATAAAAGAGTGCCTCTGAGACCCATCTGAGAGATGACCCAGAAGAATACCATGGTCATTGGTATCAAAAGATGCTGAGAGGTTCAGCAGAACCAACAGGGACGAACTCCCCTTGTCCAGTTCATGGCATAGGTCATCCACCAAGGCAACTAGAGCAGTTTCTGTTCCATAACCAGGCCTGAATCCAGACTGAAACAGGTCTAGATAATGTGTCTCATCCAGGAACCTCTGACGCTGAGAAGCCACAACCCGCTCCAGCACCTTGCCCAAGAATGGGATATTAGAGGCAAGTTGGTAATTATTCAATATTGTGGGATCTAAGGAGGGTTTTTTCAACAGTGGTCTTACTATTGCATAATATCACTATGAGAGGTTGCCCAGAGTTTGCAGTTTGGTGTCACAAGTATGACACCAAAGTATTTCTTTTTCCTTTCCATCTAACTCCCTGGAAGCTATTTCAATTCCAAACAAGTGTCTAATGTCAATAATAGACCAAATGCTGGTCCGTGGGCTTTACAGGTCCAGGCCACAGAGACAGATCTCCCCCCCCGCATGGTGAGCGTGGCACGCTTGCACATGTGTTTGTGGATGGGCATGGTGTGCTCTCAGGTGGGCACAATGCACCCATCTGCGCATGCCCATGAGCGCACCACACCCATCCACGAGTGTGCCATGCCCATCTGCAAATGTGTCACGTCCCTCGCAAATGTGCCGCGCCCACCCATGAGCATTGGGGTGCCCCACCCCCTATGCATGGACCCTTCTCCCCCAACTGGTCTGTGGTTCCAAAAAGGTTGGGGACCACTGCTTTAGAGGTTGTTAAGCTCTCTGCAGTGGTGACGCCAGGTCTTTAGGCCCTCCATGTGTCGACTGGGGCCAGGGATGGTACTGGGATCTTGCTGGGTTACCACACTTGCCGTGACCCAGCCATTTCCTTACCAGAGCTGGCAGACCTAGTTTCTGTGGCACTGTTGGAATCCCCAAGGCTTCTGGTTTTGGGTGATTTCAACATCCATGTGGAGGTGGAGGTTTCTAGTCCGACTCTTGAGTTCTTAGAAACCATGGCTTCCTTGGACATGTCCCAACATGTTAACGGCCGCACCCATGTGGGTGGTAATATGCTAAACCTGGTGTTCCCCACCGAGCTAAGTGAGTGTGGTCTGATGGTGAATGACCTTGTGTCAGTCCCCTTGTCATGGTCGGATCACCACCCAATAAAATGTAACCTCTCAGTGGCTCTCCCTTCCCGCAGGGAGCAAAGATCTTTTTAATGGTCCACCCTCAAAGGTTACTGGATCCCGTAGGATTCCAGGACTCTATGAGAGGGATTCTGGCTGATCTGACTGGCACTCCTGTCGAGGCTCCAGTTGATGGCTGCCTTGCCACCATCACCAGGGCTGTTGACACGATTGCTCCTAAACGCCCTCTCCATTGCAGAGCTCGTCCAGTGCCCTGGTTTAACCAGAAGCTGCAAGCGATGCAGAATAGGAAAAGGCTCAAGTGTAACTGGAGACTGAACCTGACAGAATATAAGCTGTCAGGATCGCAACTAACCATTACCTTACTAAGGTGAGGGCTGCCAGTCAAGCTCACTTCGCTGTCCAGATAAGTGAAGCTTCTAATCAATAGGCGGAACGTTTCTGTATAGTCTATCTATCCAGAATTGGTCACAGTGATTGGCCTCCCATTAGCATCTCACTTGACCAAATTGCAGCATTTTTTAAACCTAAAGTGGAGACCATCTGCTGGATCTTATCCCCTATTTGAAAACAGTAGATCAAGCAGAGACGTCCAACACTCCACCTTGCCTGATAAGATGTAATCACTTTCTACCTGTGAGATCAGATATGGTGGACAAAGTGCTTGATCGCTGTCATGTCACCACCACCTCCCCTGACCCTTTTCTGGCCTGGCTAATCAAAGCAGCCAGGCCTGTAACAACTGAATGGGTCACTGCAATAATTAATGGGTCCCTCCATTAATTAGACACTCATTAGGCCCATCAGGAAGAAATCAAGTCTGGCAGTGGATGACACTGGCAACTATAGGCCCGTCGCTAATGTTTCCTTCCTGAGCAAAGTGGTAGAGAGGGTGGTGGCCAACCAGCTCCAGGTCCTTTTGGATGAAACCAATGCCCTGGATCTGTTCCAGTCGGGCTTCAGGCAGCAAAACAGCATTGGTTGCCCTGTTTGATGACATGCTGAGGGAGGCCGAAAGAGGCAAAACGTCTCTGTTGGTCCTCCTCGATATCTCAGCTGCCTTCAATACTGTTGACCACAGTATCCTCCTGGGGAGGCTCTCCGAGTTGGGAATCAATGGTCTGGCATTTGCCTGGCTCTGATCCTTCTTGTAGGACTCTCCTCAGAGAGTACAGCTTGGGGAAAGTGTATCGGCCCCGTGGAGTCTCAACTGTGGGGTTCTGCAGGGCTCGATTATCTCCCCAATGCTGTTTAATATCTATGACGCTGCTAGGTGGGGTCATCAGGAGGTGCGGGGCTTCGTGGCATCAGTACACTGATGACACCCAGCTCTACATCTCTTTTTTTCCAACAGCAGTGGATGCCGTTCTGTCCCTTCAGCACTGTCTGGAGGCTGAACTGCAATGGAAGCAGGAGAAGGACTGAGGCTGAATCCAGACAAGATGGAGGTCCTGACGGTGGGTGGCACTACCATCAGTGGTTTGGGAAACTCCCTTTTCGGAGAGAGACATAGTGAAAAGTGAAGTTCGCAGCTGGGAAATCCATCTGGATCCGGCACTCACCATGGAGACCCAGGTGGCGTCAATGGTCCACTCTGCCTATTTCCATCTCTAGCTGATTGCCCAGCTGTGTCCCTATCTTGATGTTGGGGTGCTCACCACTCTGGTCCATGCGCTTGTAATGTCGAGATTAGACTACTGTAATGTACTCTACGTGGGGCTACCTTTGAGACTGATGCAGAAGTTTCAAATGGTGCAGAATGCGGCGGCCAGCCTTCTCACTGGGGTGAGAAAATATCAGCATATTTCCAGCTGCTTTGCACTGGCTGCCGATTTGTTTCCGCATTGATTTCAAGGTGTTAATGAGGACATATAAAGCCCTAAACAGTTTAGGACCCTGACACCTATCTGGGTGTTTTTAAGAGCGAACTTAAAACCTGGCTCTTTAGGCAGGCTTTTCCTCCTGTCATCACCTGATTACTTTTGCCATCTTGAATTTATATTATTACTGTTGTCTTTATTTTATTATATTGTTTTTACTTTTATCTATTATTGTTAGCCACCCCGAGTAGACTCTGGTCTAGATGGGCGGGATATAAATTGAATGAATAAATGAATAAACAAACAAACAAACAAAAGCAATAGAACAGGTTGCTACCTTGTAATTCCCACACCTTCAAAGGCTCAGTATCATCAGCACTTTCAATCAGGTATTTCTTCAGCTCTTTTAGATTGTCTTTGAGGTCAGGATAGTTCTGCCTGGATCAAAAGTAACAAACAAACCAGAAACTGAATCATATAACTTGTAGGAATTTACCATTCAACAAATGTTCAGATATTGGTTTGAAATGGTAATCTTAATGTTTTTGCCTTAGCCACTAGCAAGCAGTCCTGAGATACCCTTACTGTCCTTCATTAAGGATTCAATGAAGGAGAGCAAATCAAATCAGCATTTGAAGCAAATTCCAAATGCTGGCCACCTTTAAACATGGTTAATACCAATATACTGTAGGGTTTTCAATCATTTAAAGCAAAGTATAAAATATAAGATTCATTACGTTTAAGGGAGGGAGGGAAGAGCACCTGTAGGAAGGACTCCTAAATGACCACAGGGGATCATGAATATTAAACCTGTACCATGCCTCTAAGATTCCACAGAACTCCTTCACTGTTGGTTGAACACTAAAAAGTTCTAAGTACAATGAGGTGATTGGAGAGACTGACAATCCATTACCTACATAGGCTTGTTGACATACACTAATCAGGGAAAAAGGCATAAAGCCTGTCTTTCTAGCATCTTACTTTCTTGGGTATTTTTTGTTGTTGTTTTCTCCCAGGTGACTGACAATCCATTACCTACATAGGCTTGCTGACATAAACTAATCAGGGAAAAAGGCATAAAGCCTGCCTTTCCAGCATCTTACTTTCTTGGGTATTTTTTTGTTGTTTTCTCCCAGGCGAGAGAATGCCCACATCAGCTCCAACCTGCTAGAAGTACTCTACCTAATTCAGGGCCAGGCTGGGGGAAAGAGGAGTGTGTGGATCCACTGAATCTAGGGCTGTAGCTGAGTCATCGCCTGGAAGCACTTAATTCAGCTCCTACTAGGGCAATAAAGACCACTCTGACATCAGGAGCCTGGGTAAAGTAGAACTCCTCTGTTATGGGAGGTCAGCTGAACATCGTTACAGGCTTTTTTGCAGACCTTTGTGTCAGACCGTACTGACTTCTAAATGGGATGGGACATAAAAGGCAATGCTCATGTGCATCCCCATCATGTATTTGGGCCACATGCATTCAGGCACAATGCCTTAAGAGGTTTCAAATTTCACCCATAGTTGAATATTGCTTTATCTCCATTCCATCCACTCAGAATCTATTCCATTGTTTAGCTTCCTCCCCCTTGGGAATGTTAAACTTTCTGGAGTCATTCTGGAATTAATCTTACTATTAATCTTAATATTTTTATTAATTAATTCCTTTCATCCTCTGGTTTTAAATTATCATCTTCACCATCTATTTCTACTCTGGACCTCCTTTCACAAGTAAATTCAAGGTGGCTAACACAACAGCTACACTCATATCAAATCTATCTCAAAATACAACTTTATGAAAAAAAAACCCAGACAATACTGTACCACTGAGTGGAAAATACCACCAGCACAGTCAATGTGAGATCACACTCTGCTTGCACATGTGTTGCCACTGAACAAGCAGATGGAAGATTTTTTCAGAGATCTGTGGTTGTGCAAGTGGCAAAACCTCACACTAAAACACTGGTAGAACCTTCCTCTCAGTGGAAACGGAACAGGATACGGGCCCTCACATTTAGGAGCACATACATCTGGTGCCACATGGAGGAAAAAGGGGTATGAAGAAACACATTTTCTGAAGAAACCCTGAAGATGCAGACTGATAACAATGTCAAGGAACATTAAATAAACTTTATGTGAAATGGATAAGCAAAAGTTCTTTTACCACACTAAAAGAGCTACTCAGGGCCAGATAAAGGTGTTAGTTCTTACCAAATGCTTATCTGACTGGATCTAGATTTATATAATTTGATTTTAACAATAAGTTTCATGATTCCCAAGAAAATGAGAGGTAGGAGAAATTCAACATGCCACTACAATATGTGTTCAAGGTTTCCTTTTGTAACAAAAAAGAGAGAGATAAATTTAGGATTGTATCCTCACTGTGTTATTGGACATGGTGAAATGTGATGCTTTTAAAAACCATTCCAAGTGCTTTCAAAATGTATGCATCAGAAAATGCCTGTTCACAACCATTCTCAAATAGATGCCTAATCTTGAAACAATTATAAACCTGTCAAAAGAAACATTCCAATGTAATTTTTATACCTCAAGGCATTTGTAACTACTAATTCAACATCATTTCAGAAAACAGGTACAACTTCATAAGCTGAAGGCATTAAACAGCACATTTATGAAAACTTTAATGTAAGCATGAAATTAAAATTAAGATCAACTTACCTTAGAGTGTCAAAAAGAAATCCCTGGACTTCATTTTCTCCATTGCTTTCTTCCTCTGTTACATTCACTGCACCTAAACATAGCACACGGACAGAATACGACAATGTTTATTTTGCAGAAGTTATTACAATTGCATTTTTTCTGCAAAGATCCTATCTTATATTTTTGAAAATGAGAAAAAAGAAATTACACTAGCCCTCAAAAATATGACAAAGTGGGAAGATCATGTTTGATGTACAGTTAGAAAATAGGTATTTTCCAGTAAAGGCTCCATCTACAAAAAAGAAATTACAAATGTACATTTCTGTATTGATTCTCAATGCCCGTGGCTACTTTCACCATATCCCAAAAATGCAATCACAACCAACTGTGTGTGTCAAGAAAACAAATAGTGAATGGATTACTAACCCAGTACAATATTTTCCATTAAGTTCAATGGGGCCATTACTGCCTTCAAAATTCTAGACACTGGAAAACATTTTGTGATAATAATATCTCTGGTAACACCACACCAAGGAGAAAAATGTACCTTCAGACCAAGTGTCATCCACCGCTTTGTACTCAGTACTCTTTATTGCAAGTTCCACACTATATCCTGATAGATACATCTTCTCAGGGCTAGGTTTCTAGGTGAACACATCATTTTGAAAAGAAAGTATACGAGGAGTGAGTGATAAGACATACCCATTTCCAAATAACCTCAAAGTTAATTTTATTTTTGGGGTAGAGTTTGGAGAAGTCACTTTTCGGATGATAAATCCCAGAATCTCCCAACCAGAAGAGCCAATTGTTTTAAAAGATAACTTTTCCAGCTCTACTTCAGAGAGTTTCACTAAAATCTGCCAGACTCCTGAATAAACATGTACAAAGACCTGGATTTTATTTTACTATGGAACCATTATCCTTTCCGTTACACAATATATTAGATTAAATTAGAACTGTAACAACTCAGTTTCTAAGATTAGAAGGCTCACTAACTAATGCATCCATTCTTATTATTTTTTTTTTGTAAAATCTGAATCTCAGTTTTTTTCTAAAGTTTGGACATTATTGGTATCTCATCATTTTAGCAACCGACATTTTATTTTAGAGCTGTACCACAGTTGGTTTTTTTAATACCCAGCCTATAAAACTTACAAAAAGTCAGCACTGTCACACATCACAGCTAAGTCACCTTGCATACAGTTAATTTAATATTGAATCTGGGTCCAATTAATTCAGTATTCACTGGGAGCATAATTTGCTTTCCTAACCATGTCAAGTGAAACCTATATTTATACAGTAAAAGGATTCTGGTGGAAAGAAAGGTTCACTACTGATGGTAAGAGAGGCAGAGATGAGGGAGAAAAACAATAGCAGGAAATGGTGGGAAAACAAGACAGCTAACAAATGGAAGAATGAAATGTCAGTTATTTCTACACTGAAGAGGCAAACTGTTTTTGTGTATTTTTTAACATTGTCATTAAAGTGCAGGACTTCCAAATAACTACTGTTGTCAGATACAACAGCAACAGCAGCAACTGCTGCTGCTACTACTACTATTAAAAATACCAGGCACAGTCAATCAAAATTATAAATGCACTGACGAGTACCAGTTAGAGTACCAGTTAAGTAATGGCGCAGTATGTATGCTGTTCTTAACATTGTTGTGATTTTTTTCCCATGTGTAGCTATGATGGTGTTATTTCTGAAACCTGCAACTGCTTTTAAAATACTGTGTGAAATTTCTTGATTTTGTTCCCGAAGCCCCAATGACTACAAGGACCACTGAAGTGTGTTTTATCCACAAGCAAGATGTTTCCATTGCCAGGTCTCTGTATTTTGTTAGTTTTCCCAATTCTTTATTTTCTACTCTGGCATCCCCTGGAATTGTAATGTCAAAGATCAGGACATTTCTTCATTCTATTAATACTATGACTGGTGTGTTATTTTCAAGGTGTCTATCAGTTTGGATCTGGAAATCCCACAAGCTCTTGACTTCATCATTTTGTGACATCTTCTCTACCTGATGTTTCCATGGGTTTTTTTTTAGAGGCTGTCAAGTTATATTTTACCATGGCCTCCATGGACACAGGCTTACTCTTGAGGCGGAGGGGCTTGTGTGCTTCAGTGAAATTGAGAGCTATTCTGGCAGTAGTATTTCTATCTGAAGGTCTCCCGAGTCAGACAGGTCTCAGCTTAGAAGCCAGGCTGTATCCATCAACCATCAATTATGATGAGAGGAAATAAAGAGAAATCTATACCAGATTGATTATCGCCCAGGTCAACAAGGACCGTGTCAGATGCTATAGCCCCAGGGCATCTGGTGACAAATGGGCTACAGGGCTTAGCAGACCCTGTTGAGGAACCAGGATAGGCTGCTGCAAAGCTACCGGAACAAGTTAAACACAAAACTTGGACTCCCACCGAAAATCAAGAAATTATGTAATGTTATTACGAGGCAAATCCAACAGCCCATGGTTTTCAAAAAATAATGATGAAAATTTGGAAAAGGAAACACATGAATAGTGACATAATTGAACAATAATTAATGTACCAGAGAAGATTTATCATCCATATTAAAGTATTTTCGGGAAAAGGAAACACATGAATAGTGACATAACTGAACAATAATGAATGTACCAGAGAAAATTTATCATCCATATTAAAGTATTTTCAGAACTGGAATGGCAAGAACTTGAAAAGATTGGGGGGGGGATCAACCCAGAACAATGACTATAGTACGGGTGGGGGGGGATGGAGAGTAGAGGTAAAAGTGGAAGAAAACGTATCAATAGAGGAACAGCTTATGGAACAACCCAGAAATTATGAGTTGGCAGAATGGCAGACATCACTGAGGGAAAAAACAGTAACCCATTTTAGTTAGAATACAGAAAGACAAAGGCTCTCCATTTTGCACCAATTACAAAGTAAACCAGCAAAAGTTCTACTGAATGGTAGCTGTGCTATACATGAACTGGTTTGTTTCCTTTAGAGTGTTGGTCAGGATTGTTCTGATAACAACATTTGCATCATTCAGTAGAACTTTTGCTGGTACAGCAATGCAATTTAATTGCTTACTTCAAAATTCTACAACTGAAGATTGGATGACAACATGCCTCTTGACTTTTTAAAGTTCCCTTTCTGTTCATTTGGGTATAAAGAGTTTTCAGTTAAATAATTATATATTGATTTTGCAGGTACTCCTGTGAGGAACTTGAACATTGTTGGAAAGCATGAAATTGGTTGATAATTACTGGGTTTATTACCCTTTTGTTTATCCTCTATCACAGAAGCAATAAGAATATGGAAAATATGAACATTTTTGCCCCTCCAATTATCCTTATGCCCTTGTTTAGAACACCCACATTTCAAATCTAAGAATAAAAACCTTCAGTTTAAACTTTGGGAGAAAATAGGAATTTATAGAATAAAATATCTGTTTGTGCAAGGAAAACCAATTATAATTAGCCAGACACAAGAAAAAACTACAGAAATAGCAACTAATTGATTTCAATTAGTTCAGATAAGCAATGTCTCAGTTCAATTCTATAAGACATCAGGACCTAACAGACCATTAACAGAGCTTGAAAATTACTATATAGATTAGAATAATAAAAGGACTAATTTCATTAATTTATAAAAGCATGCTGGACAAAGAATATGGTAGCAGCATACAACCAAAGTTAGTTTGTGAAACAAATATAAACATCAACATACCAGAAAATATGTGGGGAAAAATATGGAATTAAATCGGTATCAGCAAAATCTATTTATTGATTGATTGATTGATTGATTTGATTTCATTTGATTTGATTTGTGGGCTAACATCACCACCTTGAATCTGGCATGGAAGCAAATAGGTAGCCCGTGCAAGGTGGCCAGAGTAGGGGAAACATGTTGGTGTCTTCTAACTCTATTCAACCATCTGGGTACCAAGTTCTGGACCCGTGGAGTCTTCGTAACAGCCCCAAGGGTAGCCCCATGTAAAGAGCATTGCAGTAGTCTAATCTCAAGAATACCAGTGCATGAACCAGCATAATGAGGGGCCCGGTATCAAGGTAGGGACACAACTGGGCAATCCGCCTTAGATGGAAATAGGTGGAACGGATGACAGACTCTATCAAAGGTTCCATCGAGAGCACCGGATTAAATAGCCTGTGGGGGCGGACCATCTTAATAGGTCCTTGCTCCCCACGAAGGGGGAGGTTGCATTTTATCTGGTCTTGGACCAACCATGACAAGGGGACCAATACCAAGTCGGTCACCTTCGGATCACTTTCTCCCTGAACAGTTGAACACACTATGTCTAATGTGTGACCCGCCACATGGGTGAGGCCATTAACAAACTGGGACATTTCTAAGGAAGCCATGGTTTCCAAGAACTCAAGAGCTGGACCTGTGGGCACAAGCTTGGCATGGACATTGAAGTCACCCAGGACAATAAGTCTGTGGGACTTCAAGGCTGCCACAAATATAAAGTGTGTCATCTCTGGAAAGGAGAGTGCTGGATTCGTGGGGAGCACCGTAAATCAGCACCATGCCAAATCTATCCCTTGTCCCCACCAACACGTGGAGGGCCTCAAGGCCCGGAAGAGTCAAGGTAGAGAGCCTGACAACCTCTAAGGTGTTTTTATTAATAATGACAACTCCCCCTCCCCAACCCTCCAGTCTGCCTTGATGTTGGATGGAATATCCAGGTGGGCAAATTAGTGAGAGGGCTATGCCACCCTCTGTGCCCACCCAGGTCTCAGTAATACAAGCCAGATCTGCTGTTTCATCCAAGATCAAGTCTTGGATTAGTTGGGCTTTATTTAAGGCAGATCTAGCATTTAACAACATCAAGAATAGAGTGGATGGTTGGCTGAGCAAGTTACCTCGATTCTGGCCACTGGCAGGAGGGCTAGAACAAGGGACAGTCTTCACACATCTGACCCCTGTTCATTCCAGTTGTTCGTTGCATTGCCAGCATCTGACTCGCTTTGATCCCCATTAGCAATGGCAGGGCTTGGGCTGATTAAAGAAGCTTTTCTGCTAATAGTGATTCCATCAGGAGGACGGGAACAAAGCCTCTGAATTACATGAAGCCACTCAAAAATCAGGAACCAAATAGAACCAAATAAACAAAGCATGTAAAAGAAATAACAAAAAACACAAGGAGGTTGCGCTGATACATAGTGTCAACTATCCGCCATGTTGAAAAAAAAAGAAAAAAGAAATCTAAAGAAATTATGTTAAAAGTAGTTCATCGGTGGCACTTATGTCCTAAGGAACTACATAAAACGAACAGAGAGATGCCAGAATTGTGCAGCCATAAAGGAACATTAGAACATATGTGGTTAGTTTGCTTGAAAGTATTCTAGTACAAGGTAACTGGCTATAAGAAATAACAAATCAAAAAATAGTTCCAAATGAAAAATTATTATTCTATTTATTTACCGGCAGAAATGAAAATGTATCAAATAACGAACTGGTGACAATTCTTATAGGGGCAGTATGTAACTTACGGTAATTGCCTGATGCTGGAAAGATGCTCAGGATCTCACCTTCCAAAGATATATAAATACAACATGGGCAGTGGTGCTGATGGAGAAACTGACTAATCAGATCAGATTATACAGAAGGGAGATTTAAAAAAGATATCTTCGTAGCATTGAAATCTGATTTTGGAGTCACAAAATAATGTAAACTAAGTGGATAATGGGCTGGACTGCTGGTTATTCTAAGCGGCATTAGCTAGATACTGTATAAAAATACAATAATAAGCCAAGGAAGAGACTATGTGAAAAGATAAATATTTTTTATATTTATATGAGGATATAAGAGTTTATGTACAAGCAATTTATTATTATTTTAACACAATAGGTATTGTTCTGTCATGCTATTTTGAATGGACTGAAATAAAGACTGAAGAAAAATAAATATATGGGATTCACCCATTCCTACATCTCAGAGTATGTTCCCCTTCCTCTCATTCGTGCCATGAACAAGCAAGCACTGATATCACCCTGAAGAAATTGAGATCCACTATACAATGCTTCTGTTGACAGGTCTGGAATTCTGATGCCTGGACATGTCCCTAAGAACCCTACAGAACTTTATAGACCCCTGGGAGGGGGATCAGAAACCTGTGTTCATTCTCATAAAAGAGTTAATGTTGAATGAAGCCAAACAATGATTGAGGATCCTAGCAAAAATTATTTGAGTATCAAGGTGTAAGTCTTTTCACTGTTACAATAATTCCAGGAACTTTATTGTTCAGTGACTTTGCTCGGCTGGAGTTCCAGCTAAATGGAACTTTAGTAAACTATTATTCAAGCCTCAATTTTAAAAGCACTTTCATTTTGAGGTCTATTTTTCTATAGACCCCTTGATTATTTTAACACTCTATACACATAACATTTCAAACCTTGACACTGTGACAAATATACACTAGAGCAAAGAAGGAACACTGCTAATGCCTAATGAGTACAATGTGAATATGATGAAGGAAATGGGAGGAAGATAATATCAATTGGGCAACTGTAGAAGGCCTGCCTTTTGTTCTTGGAGCACCTTAACAGAGGGGAAGGATCCATGAGTTTTTACAAACTAATAAAAAACTGATAAAAGGATGCTTCAATAGCACTAATAATTTAGAAGGATGCAAGGCCAGGAATGTTTTTGCCTTTTTATAAAGCAATTAAATCAATGTTAATATCTTAAACGATGTCAAAAGTATTGGATTATATTTACTTTTCTGAAATCCAAAGTCATTTCCAATTCTGGCTTCAAGTTTTGTTTTCAAGAACAACCCTATTTAATTTTGATCAAAATACAGTGGGGTCTTGACTTAAGAACGGCTCGAGTTAAGAACATTTTGACTGAAGAACCACTCTCATAGGAAAATATTGACTTGACTTACATACTTAGATTTGAGTTAAGAACTGAAAAAACCCACGTGGGAGGCAGGGAAAGTGCAAAATTTGAACTTTCAGTTAACTGTTGGCCAGTGAAAAGGGTGCCTGTCTGCTTCCTCACTCCTCCCAGCGTTTAGAGAGTGGATTGGGAGACAGTCTTCAGACTGCCTGGTACTGTACTGCCTGGACTGTATTTTCCCTGCCTTCCCTGAACCTTTCTTGACCTAAGAAAAAAAGAAACAAAATATCCCCCTCTAGTAGTTGAAGGCGGAATAGCAGCTTCCCATTAGTTTCTATGGACGGAAAAGAGCAGATACGGATCAAACGATTTTCAATGCATTCCTATGGGAAATGCAGATTTGACCTGAGAACTTTTTGACTGGAGAACCGCCTTCCAATATGGATTAAGTTCTCAAGTCAAGACCCCACTGTTCTCAAGTCAAGACCCCACTGTAAAGCATGCCATGCATTATTGTACATGTATCCCTTTGATATGTACCGAATAAAAGCATGGTCTGATAAACTCCTCCATATATTCCTCCAGGGGGTCCCATGTGTGGTAACTGTATCATCTTCACCATTTGTGATAAAGTATCATCAAAAGACTTTTTAAAGATGTAATCATGTAACAAAGCACACTGGGAGTGTGGCAACAATTCAAAGCAACTTTATCTTAATGGGAGCTACTTACCTCACTTTCACATGCACACCTACCTGGATGAAATGTCGAAGAAGGTAAACAATTTCCTCCTTTCCTGCTTTTTCAGACAAAACTTTGTGAAATGTTGCAAAGTCTTTTGTACCCATTTCAGCATAAAGGATCACTGTCGGGGCAGTGTCATTGAGCGTAGGGAATTTGTGGTCCCCTTTGAACATATATGGCTTGGGCCTTGAATTAAAAACAAATAACCTTTCAGCTGAACAAGAATGAGACTTGTATTAATGTGTTTTATGGAAACATTTGAGAAAACATGGAACAGTAACAATTAGAGACTCTTCCTCCTACCTCCCTGCTGGAGTGGTTGGCTGTCTGGGGAAGTGGGGATGACATGGTAGGACTCCAGAGTTTTACTGGTGCACTCCTGATGCAGAATGACCCAGGCTGCCTGTGGAACCTGGTACAGTGGACCCTCGACTTACAGACGGCTTCACTTACAGACTTTTCGAGTTACAGACTTCTCTGACCGCCAAATTTATGTTCGATTTGCAGCCGGAGAATCAACCTACAGACCGGGGGGAAAAAACCCCAAATGGTACAAAAACAGCTGGTTACGGACTAATCAGTTTTCAATGCATTGTAGGTCAATGGAGCCACAACCTACAGACTTTTCGACCTGCAGCCACCGTTCCAATACGGATTAATTCCGTAAGTCGAGGGTCCACTGTAAGTGGTTGGGGGGATGGGGAGAGGAATTAGGAACACTTGGGCAGTGGTGCACATGAAGCCCCCATCTCTAGTGACAATCTGATAGATATCTGAGAAAAGTGTTACTGAGTTACAGAGAAAACCTACTACTTAATCATTTTTAGATTTGTTTGAATGCCCCCCAGCAACTGAGTTTTGTTTTGATCAGAATTGCTCGAGCAGAATTAGTACAAACACACATTTAGATCATTCTAAAAAGAAATAGCCGTGGTGTGGGCAGAGAAGTTCCATGAGCAAACCTCAGTATTTTTAAGAATAAATTTAAAATATGATCCAGCAGAGTAACAGCCCTTCAGCCAAACTGAAAAGAAAAACTGGTAGGAAAGCAGGTTTGTAAACAGCTACTCTTCTAGTCGTGGGTGATGAGTAAGAACTGCCTCCAGCTGAACAAGTACAAATGCTACAAAAAACAGCTGTTTTAATTTTAGGCTGTGAATCACTAAAATAGAACTATGCAGCAAAAGTGTGTACTGTCAGCTTCTTTGAAAGACTGATTGAGGAGTGAGTGACGCTGGAAAAGGGCTGCTATCAAAGAAAGATTCCCCATTGACTCCCTGAGAGGGAATAACTGACAAAAGCTCTCTGACAGAACGGTCTTTACTTCAGACAGAGCTGTCTCAACTGCTGAATCTTACAGTATGATTAAAATCTCATGGCATATTTGACTATGTATAATTAGGCTTAATGCCCACATGTACACAGTAAGAACAAAGATGTGTGCCTTCAACAACAAAGCTTTTGTTCTGAAGGCACCATGCTTCTAAAAATAGATCACTCACAACAGCTCCTTAGACGTACCTCGAAGCAGCCTTCTTCAGAAGCTTCTTAATTTCATTAGTTTTACAGGTGCTCTTCCCATGGATAACTACAAATGCACGGCAACCTTTCGGTGGAGGCTCATCAGCTGCAATCTAATGTTTCAACAATTATACTAAATCCAGTTGGTGTTAACTGCATTTCATCCTAAAAGTAACTTACAATTTTTTGATTAAAACAGCTCATCAGCTGCTTATCACACTGTATGTAAATGCAAATGCGCCAAGGAAGTGATAAGAAAATAAGATCAGAAGTAATTATGTGTCACTTTCTCAAGATTTCAGTCATCACCAGTGCTGCTTTGAGATATACCACTCTGGATTTTTCCCTTCGGCAGGAAAAAAACTATGTAAAATTTGTTTTAAGGGCATGTGTGCCTACCTAGAATGTTAGGAATTAATGTTATAAAGGGTCTGGTCAACAATGCCCCTGCAGATGACATTGACCTTAAATTCTTATCAACCCAAGCCAGTACTGCCAATGGGAAGGGATTATGGAAACCACACTCCAAAAACATCAAGAGAACTACTGTTGATATGGCATAACCTTGTGGGACCTGATTTCATAAACTGCTATCAAGCCTCTGAGGTTGGGACATCTATTCACCTAGTAAGAGATATGCCTTCCAAGACCTGTCTTAGCTTGGGTGTCAGTATCAGTATCCTAAAATTTTCTATTTCACATCAGTACAACTTTGCAGCATACGAGAAATTGTATCTCTTATCTTTCTATCAAGCCAGACAGAGATGCATCTTGGCTTCTCATTTTAACTAGCAAACAATATTCTCAACAGAATGGGAAACTGGTTTGCTCTAGAGCAAAAGCAGAAGCTTTCAAATTCCTCTCTACATGACTGAAGGACAAAGAAAGTGAGTGAACTCCAAACTTCTGCAGGCCCGTTCTCAACCACATTGTCTCCCCAATATTCACAGGACTGTTTAAAACCATGGGTTTAAAGAATTATCACTATTGGTTGAGCTTCTCTTGAGGCAGTGAGGCACCACAGTGAGGAATTTTCTTCCCCTTGATATCCCTTGACTCCAGCCTGACAGTGACAAAAGGAATGTTGTTCTTTTTTTCAATGCTTCTGCAACTGACAGCAAATGCCTCTCTGACATACAACACCAAAACAGTCTCCTTTCCATTTAAGAAGCATAACATGCACATATGTACACCAAGAGAGAGAGAGAAAGAGAGAACAGGACCAGCTTACTGAGAAAGAAAAATGCCAATAACCCATCTGATGCTTCAGATTTTTAAATATCCATGGAAAAAAGCAACAGCTGTTGTAGCGTTGTGCAACTTGTGCAAAATCAAGTCACCAACAACACCAGAATATATCTTGCTCTCTTGCAAGTGGAGGAGAAAAAGAAAGGAGTTGTGTGTCCTTGCCTATAAATAAGGACAAGGTAAGAATTTACATCCCCAGTCTAATCCAAATGGAAAAAGCTGGGGTAAAAGATCCCCATGCTGGTGAAGAATACTGACCATTATCCTATTCAATATTTACACACATGCAGAACTCCACGTGCAGAAGTTGGCACAGCAAATCTTATGAGAAGCCAGTTGCATGCAGCGTACAAAACCGAATATCTGCAATGTAAACACGGAAGACGACACTAGCCATTGTTTTACAGTTAGAAAAGGGCCTCTTTTATGCTTTGCATTCAATTGATGCAGACAAAGTGCAAAATCAAATCCAAAGGTGTATTTAACTTTTGCAAAATCCTGCGAACTACTAGATATTATAGCACATAGTCTTTTTTTCCTGCTAGCTCCCACACAAGGATTTCTGGAATAGTGCTATCAGTGGTGCTTTGGCTCTGGCCCAATGTAAGAAAAAAATGCATTAGGAAAGCAGGGGATGCATTTGCTGTAGCTATGTGCTGTGCAATTTCCACTGATTGCTTTATAAACAGTTTAAAAAATAATAATACATAACACCTGAAGACAGGACAAGATATATGTTTTAAGCCAATTATCCACCCATTCAATTCAGACCCATAATTTTTACAAATGTAACAGATGGCATTTTATTTGCTTTGAAAAGTTCTGTTTAAATATATTCATTTAACTGATATTTGTTCCTTTTAGTAAGAGCAGTGGCTCATGAATACCAATTGGTCTTTACTTACACATATATAGAGACACGCCTGAACTCTTCCCAAAAGCCTGAACTTCAGTTCATAAGATGTCTATTTTCCCTGCCCGTTAACTAGCATCACACATAACAAAAACCAACCTTGGCATGTTTTCAGACAGTGTATGCCAGTATCCCACCGCAGGAGACACGGAGAGCAACTCTCAAGTTCATAGGACTCCCTATGTCCTCTCCCCTTTCCCAACAGGTAGAGACCAGCAAGGCAGGGCCTGCACAGAGTTTCCTGGGTCACTCACTCTAGTTGCACAGTGGCTTGTTATACACATATGGGATCCTGACAGTATGAAAGATTTTGGAAAGGAGGGCTATAATAACACAATGAAATCATTTCAAACCACATGTCAATTTTTTTTTTGAAAGAATGGTTTGCCACAGGAAAACAGGAATACAGGAAGCTGCCTTATACAGAGTCAGACTCTTTGACCAGCTAACCCAGTACTATCAATACTAATCAGCAGTGGTTCTTGAGGCTTCCAGGAAGGAGTCCTTGCCCGGTCTCTTTGGAGGTGCTGGAGGTTGAACTTTGGAACATCACTCTTAGGAAAGCCACTACTGGACTGGTACCCACCTACACTACAATTTAGCCTAATGGGGTGTGTTTTAATTGAGGTTTGCTGCTATGAATGAAACCAGAATCCTAGCTTATTTCTGATTTTTTTTCCCCCCTGTGTCTTTCTTAATGCTCAGAGGCATGTGCAGCAAAAAGAGGGGAATGCTCCTTGGGCAAAAGTGCCTCCAGCACATCATCCCTCCTTATTTTCTCCAGCAACAGTCTACTTTCCATTATCAGCTCCTCCTTGAGTACAAGGCAGAAGTGGAAATCTTGGCCCAAATCTTTTCAGCAATTGATTCAATTCTTATTGGGATAACAAATGGATCTGAGCCAATCCCTCCAAATGTGAAGCTACCCACCTGCCCAAATAAAGCACAACAAAATACCTGTTTCACAAAAGGAAAGACAGAGACAGTAGCTTTTTGATGGCTGTTCTCAGGCTGTGGAACTCTTTCCCATGGGAAGCCCATATGGCTCCATCCCTGTCCTTGTTCTTTCAGGAAGCAAAAGACCTTTTTGTTCAGACAGGTATTTGGCAGCTGACCAGCCACCAAGAAACAGGCTTTAATGTGGGGTGCTCTTTGTCCCCAAATTAAATGTGCTTTTAAATAGTTTTAATGGGCTTATAAATTGTTTAAAACTGTTTTTTTTAATTCAGTGGCTGTTTTAATACGCTGTTTTAATACGCTGTTTTTTTTCTAATTTTCTAATGTATTGCATTTTTCAAAAATTACATTTATCTTTAAAATATTTGAATTCCTTCGTAAGGATTTTGATTTCCTTTGTGAGAAGAAAGATGGGCTATCAATAAAATGATTGAATGAATGAACAAAGATGCAGGCAAAATATCCTCCCAAAATACCCACATCAATTTTTTTCAAAAAAATCAACAGATGCAGGCAAAATATCCTCCCAAAATACTCACATCAATTTTTTTTAAAAAAATCAACAGACAAAAAACAATCGAGTGAAAATGTCCAAAGGTGAACAAAATCAAAACATCCCCCCCCCCACAAACAAAATAATCCCAAAACATAGGCAAAATGCACTCTCAGAGAAAAGCCAAATAAAAAAAAAAAAATCCTGTGAAAATGTCCAAAGGTGAACAAAAGCAAAACATCCCGCCCCGCAGACAAACAAAAGAATCCCAAAACATAGGCAAAATGCGCTCTCAGAGAAAAGCCAAACATAATCAGAAAATAAGATTCTAACAACCACAAAACTCCAGAAAAAGAGACCCAGTGATGTATAGGGCAAGGGCCGCCACCAAATGAAAACCAGAAACAGAACACCTACACAGCTAGAAATAACCAAAACAGTCCTTGATGGGGACCAATGCATTTGGGATACTAACAAGTAGACAAAAAAACAAAGCAGGATTTGGCCAAACAAGCCATTATTTCATTTATCTCAGTGACTAACTCTGGCGTGCGTAACAAATCACAGTTAAAACAAATCACAGGGTGAACATAATGAGCCACTTTTTAAAGGCCTCCGCTGGGGGGTGATAAATGTTAAGCAGCTCCCCAGTGCCTTGAGGAGGTGTAGCTGTACAAAGATGCTTAGTACGGATCAACCAGCTGTACATACCTGCTGAAACATTTGAATGGTTGGAGAATGTGCTCGTAAGGAAAGAGAAAATTTCAGAAGATTAATCTGCAAATTTGTCAGGAACTGTCCAGCTTTCTTCAAGATTAAGTTGTAGTAAGAATGTTCCGAGACTGCATTTAAAAAAAGACCGACAAACAAAATATTAGCATCTGGCTCCAAACATAAATGGAGACATACATTAGAACAATAATAAGCCTTCCTAGAGAACAGCAAAACATAATTTTGCTGATAGTACTGCTAGGTGTAAAAATGCATTTTCAATGCAATACAAGACAACTCCTCAGTCAAGGGTTACAAGCTGTTTGTACAACATACTATTAAGTACAGTATTATTTAATGAACAGGTCATTCAAAAGATAATTCTTAAACATCAACTATACTGTGTAGTGCTGAACTCCTGATCGTCGGAAGGGAGGAAAAATACATAAAAGAAAGGCAGACAGACATAACTGCACTAGATTCAGTGTTGTAGGGCTTAGAATTTGCTACAGAGGCTGCCTCCAAAACTATCCACAAAATGAAAGCATGAAGCCAAACTATTTAGGAAGTCTTACTTTCCAGGCATGGACTTCTCTATCCTTCATACCAGGAAGAATGGTACAGAGCTTTGAGAATGAGTGTCACATAATGTATTACTTTATATTGCCCCTAATTATTTTGCCAAATAAAATATGGGAGAGGCAAAGGCAAACTTCTCAAATGCTATCAACAGCAAAATTAAAATGCGGAAAGGGCAATAGGCAAAACAGAGGAAGGTGTGACACTGCTACAGAAGAGAGAAAAACAAGAACCAAGACTAACAACATGCATAAACAAAAGGCAGAAAACAAGTTGGCTTTTTTCACTGACTGAATGATCACATATATAATTTTCTTTTAACAAACAGCAATTAGGGCTCCAAGCCTGACTGAACACCTGGTCAAGTCCTTAAGGATGAAAGATTAAATCAGAGAGCTTTTTTCCTCACAACAACACATTAAAGAAGTGTTTAATGGCTGCTACTTCTATTCTTTTCTACGCAGTGGAATAGGGCTGCATAGCCATTTTGATGGAGGAAAATATTTTAATCCATCATATATTATATGTGTGTTATTTCTTCATACATGTGGAAGATGAATCATGTGAACAGTCATGGCTAAATGACAAGATGCCCGTCACACTCCATTTCTGCCACTTGCATTTAAACAATTAGCCATTTTTGCTTCCACAATTTCCTTTCCACCCATGTTAAAAGTAGGAAACCAGCCTATACACATGCAGAGCTGTATGCGCACACAAAGAGAGTATAAATATATGTTGTTGTTGTTTAGTCATTGAGTCATGTCCGACTCTTCGTGACCCCATGGATCAGAGCACACCAGGCCCTCCTGTCTTCCACTGCCTCCCAGAGTTTGGTCAAATTCATGTTGGTAGCTTCAATGACACTGTCCAACCATCTTGTCCTCTGTCATCCCCTTCTCACACTTTCCCAACATCAGGGTCTTTTCCAGGGAGTCTTCTCTTCTCATGAGATGGCCAAAGTACTGGAGCCTCAGCTTCAGGATCTGTCCTTCCAGTGATCACTCAGGGTTGATTTCCTTCAAAATGGATAAGTTTGTACTCTTTGCAGTCCAGGGGACTCTCAAGAGTCTCCTCCAGCACCACAATTCAAATGCATCCATTCTTCGGCGGTCAGCCTTCTTTATGGTCCAGCTCCACTTCCATACATCACTACTGGAAAAACCATAGCCTGGACTATGCGGACCACAAGAAAGTAAAATCTGTCACTACCCCCATATTTTCCCCATCTATTTGCCAGGAGGTGATGGAGCCAGTGGCCATGATCTTAGTTTTTTGATGTTGATCTTCAGACCAATTTTTGCACTCTCCTCTTTCACCCTCATTAAGAGGTTCTTTAATTCCTCCTCACTTTCTGCCCTCAGAGTGGTATCATATGCATATCTGAGGTTGTTGATATTTCTTCCCGCAATCTTAATTCCGGCTTGGGATTCATCCAGTATAGCCTTTTGAATGATGTCTTCTGCATATAAATAAGCAGGGAGACAATATACAGCCTTGTCATGCTCTTTTCCCAATTTTGAACCAACCAGTTGTTCCATATCCAGTTTTAACTATTGCCTCCTATCCCACATACAGATTTCTTAGGAGATAGATAAGGTGGTCAGGCACTCCCATGTCTTTAAGGACTTGCCATAGTTTGCTGTGGTCGACACAGTGAAAGGAATTCATCCAGTCCAGCCTTTCTCGTGATGTCTTCTGCATATAAGTTAAGTAACCAGGGAGACAATATACAGCCTTGTTGTACTCCTTTCCCAATTTTG